GATCCCATTTACACTAGACTGTAGGGGAAAGCCAGCCTTTGCTACCCGCTTTGGCTTATACCTGTTCTGAACAATACCCTTTGCACTGCATGGAGCCCTGGCCACATTCCAGCAGTTGATGGACTGGGTCCTGCAGCCCCACTAGGGGCATGCAGCAGTGTATCTGGATGATATAGATGTCTACAGATAGACCTGGGCAGAGTACCTGGACCATGTTGCTGCAGCATTGCGGTCACTCCAGGAAGAAGTCTAACTGCAAACCCGGCCAAGTGCCACATGGTTAAGACTGAAACCACGGACTTGGGGTACACTCTGGGGAAAAGTCAAATATGGCCACTGGTGGACAAGGTCCAGGCCATGCAGAGGTTTCCAACACTGAACACCAAAACCCAGGTACACTGGTTTCTAGGACTGGCCAGGTACTATCAATAGTTTATACTAGCATTCTCTTCAATCGCAGGCCCCCTCACAGACCTTCTGAAAGGCAACCATCTGCAAAAGGTACAGTGGACCAGACTGTACCCAAGCATTCCTCACATTGAAGGCTTGCCTATACCAGGAACCAGTCCTATACAACCCAGACTTTCCAAAGGAGTTTATACTCCAGACCGATGCTTCTGGTGTAGGGTTGGGGGCAGTGTTGTCCCAAATGGTGAATGGGGAGGAACTCCCAATTCTCTATTTGAGCCAGAAGCTATTCCCAAGGGAGTATTATTCTGTTATTTAACAAGAAGCACTGGCAGAAAAATAGGTGGTAGAGGCCCTCAGATATTATCTGCTTGCTGGGACCTACACCTTGATCATGGACCACCCCACCGTGCTGTTTACACACCATGAAGGAGACAAATCCCTAAATGATGTGGTGGTACCTGATCCTGCAACCCTCCTCATTCCTAATCCATCATAGGTCTGAAAAGACCTACTTCAGCATGGATTTTTTTCATGGGAAGAGGAGGATGTCCCCTCTCAGAATTTCTGGTGGAATGCCATGCACCCTTCATATCAAACTTTTAATTAAAAAGGGAGGTGGAGTGTGATCCTCAGACCACTTACCATGGCCTTGCAGGTTGCCATTAGTCCATGAAATACAGTTTGGGAATTAAAGATAACCAGATCTCTGGTTTTTTCCAGGTTCTAAAATAATACTGCAGTGGTTAGGAAGGAAATTTCCCCCTCTGTAGACGAACAGGAGATGCTGATAGTGATCTCATCTGGTGCATAAACTATGCATTCTTACAGTAGTAAGTAAATGCTTTTGAGTAAGGAACTGTGCTCAGAAAGTTGGCATATCCTTGGCTGTGCTGCTCAGATGAGTCATAGGGCCATACATTTTAAGCCCAGAAGATCCATTTTGATCACACTGTCTGGCCTCCTGCCTAGCTCAGGCCAGAGAACTTGACTCAGTAATAACTATGCAGAGCCCATACCTTCTTGTTTGAGCTATAGCACTTGTTTTTAGGTTTGAATGTTTCATAACCAAAATTAAAATAAAAAATTATCCAACCACTTCTCTCAAAGGAGATAACCTTGTTGCCTTCCCCCAACAAATTAAAGCAATGTTGTTCAAACATCTTTTAATGTTTGATATATTTCTTTGTGAGAGTGGCTAATATAGACTCAGGTCAAAAAGAACAGTGGTTCTTTACACCCTGGTGTCTCTGTATTTTGGTCTTGACAGGCATGAGGGCACTGGTAAAGTCTCAGACCCTAAGGTATAACTACAGTAACTGCCCCACACCAGCAGTGGTTACTGAAATGCCAGCCACTCTGCTTCACAATCATGCTGAGTGAATAAATGGTAAGAAAACAAAAGTCAATTGTATCTGAAGGTAGAGTCTGAATGATGTGTTGACATGATTTATATGATGACTGCCCTTTTGTATATACACTGAACACTGGAGCTTTTACAGTAATGAATATTAACCCTATTTTTCCCTGAAAAAATCACATGGTAAGAAAAAGAAGAGTTAATTAAATGTCCCACTCAGCCATAGTTCTAACTCTGCCATATGTAGAGATGGGCTCCAGCCACAACTGGGAATTTAAACAACCATTAATTTGGAAGTGTCTGGCTTTGGTTTTCACTAACATGGGAATTGCTCCCCACCCATGCTGGGATTTTTAGGGCCTTCTTCAAAGATCAGGTTGCTTTATGAAGCAGCTGCTTTCCAGGCCTTATACAATATAAACTCGACTCATCCTTGGAGTGATTATGGACTGACTGGACAGGGACTAGATATGATCTATTTGGTAATTCTGGAATAACTACATTTGGATTAGTACAGTTATTTTCCAGCTGACGATACCTCAGTGATGTGTTCACTTAGAGTGAACTGAAGTAGTCTAACTATAGGGAATGAATCAATGGATAACAATGGTAAGGACCTGATCTGAAAAAGAAGGAAGGAGTCTCCTTACAAAACAGAGATGGAAGAAGGCACTACTTACTGTTGCACTCTGTGCACTGAGAAGCAGTGCAAAATCCAATGTCACCTTGAGACTCTGAACTACTCTGCTGATCAGAAGCCTTCAATTGATGATGGGGTTAATACCTCAGCTGGCTCCACAAACTGTCCCCCCATTCCAATATCACTTCGTCTTCCCTGTGAAGATCAGCATGACAACCTTGTTATTCTCCTTCAGATCTCTGTTCTCCTTTGCCATAGTGCCTGCAGAAATACTGGACAAAAAACATTAGGCCACCGCAGAGCTGTAATCACTGCCTACCGTGCTGACCAATATTCTCCGATTGCTTCCTTGTGCCTGTATCCATCTGTTGTGCACTTGTACAGTGCCTGGAACAAGGGATTCTGGATCCAGAGCAATAAATAATAACCATCATAATAGCCAACACCAACTCATACACAAGATTTTTGGAAGCCTCCTCTTACCTTGTAAGAGCTAACTAATTTAGCCCAGGGCAGTGTGACCCCTGGACACAGACTAGTCTGACTCCACAGCTGTCTGAAATCTCAGTTCCAGTATAAACATGAAACTTTTATCATCTGCCCAATAAAGCAGGCTGCTATCAAATAATAAAACTAGGTGGAGTTTCTGGGATTGCAGGTGTCATGCCCTAGTCCTTATAATCCCAGTTTATGCTGTCCTCTGCTGTACAGACTGAGTAGGCTTCACGTTCTTCTTGATCTTGCAAAATATTCTGTTTCATTTTACTAATATGCCAGCAGCCAATCTGACGTGCTACAGGATGTAAATCTAGATGTCAGCAAACAGGGCACTTGTTACAGCAGGTAGTGTGCTAATGGGGTCTGCCAGCTAATTTAATATTCATAAACTCTTGTATAGCAATTTGGCCAGGCAACAGCAGGCTCTCTCTCCTGCTCAGAGACAGCAGCTTGGAGGTTAATTGCGTACCTGTCTGCCACAGCTGTATCGCAAGAAAGATAGGGAGGCCTCTAGTACTGCACTGCTCTTTGTTATACTGTGCCTGAAGCTTTTGTACTCCATCCCCCAGCTCTCAGCTCTTAAATCTGCCCCACAGATTTTCATATGCAGCCTTTGTGAAGGTGTTCTCAGCAGGGTTACTCTATGCTGCCTTTTTTCCATCTTTATTTAACCCTAACCTCACAGGGAAGCTTTACATATTTTATGAGGAATAGCTGTATTGTTGCTTCAAACGACTCAAGTCCAGATACTAGTGGGGTGCAAATTCATATCCTCGACGTGGAAAAGGGCATGGTCTTTTTGGACTGTGAAGTCGGACTTCCTGTTCTTTGCCTTAAATGGTTAAACCAGTGATGGAAGAGATTCAAGAAGGAAGACCAATGATTACAGACTATATGGAGGTGGAGAAAGGGGCTCCTACAGAGTTAACATTTACAGAAGCCCCCCAAAATGTAAGAGACAGTATTGTTAATTGAAGAAGACAGCCCTTATGTGTTCACTTCAAAATTACATGTTTTAGGAGGGAATTTAATTTTTCTGTGGTGGGGGAGAGGGAGAGAAAAAGAATTAGAGGGGTCAGCCCAGAAAAGGAAGGGAGTAAAGGTACTACCAGAGCCAATCCAACAGCTGGGCTTGGCAGATGTATTCAACGAGAAAACTTAATTTAGCCACTGGTCCAGCAAGTCAGAATCAAGACTCTGCATGTATCATTAGTAAACAGAAAAGTATTGTGTCTGTTAGAGCTGATTGTGGATTCCAGATGGGTGGGATTTACATCAGGGAAGGGATCTGATGTGCTGGGTACTCAACCAGACCCTCAGAAACTTCAGATCCAATTACTTGTTTTATATAACATTACATGCAGAGTGCAAAACCATTTTGTATTAAGGGGTCTGGATGCTAAATCTGACCAAGAGAGTAAGTGCATCCAACACTGATAGAATGGTTGTAACAAAAGGAAATGGCAGTGAGCAATAAGTGAGCAATGAGAGAGATATGTGGCCAGAAAGACAGGGTGGAAAAGGAGAACAGACACAGAGCATATGTTAGGTCTTATTCACAAATATTTTTAAGCTTGTTTAACAACAAAAGAGATCACAGGCTTGTGAAGGACAGTGGGAGAGCAGATTTGGGGATGTTTCATTGAAGCCTAGCGTAGCATTGGATTTGTTAACACCCCACATGGTTTTTGAGGAGCAACAAGGCCAATGGAAGGTGTCTATTACTATAACAGAGGTCAAGGAGCCAATTTAATCCTTGTAGAGATGAGTGTCTTCCTAGCTGGATGGTTTGATGTCTAAAACATATCAAAGATTTCCAACAGTCTGTGTGAGTTTAAAAAACAGGTCTCATCAGGCATTAAAAGAAAACACCTGTCAGAATCGTTCAACTCAGCCATATTGATTTTATTGGAAAAAGGGATAGGTGAGACTTTGGTAGACAATTGAAAGTTATTGATCCTAATAAAATTCTGTTGAAAGTACTATTGCAATGCAAGTGGTGCTCATGTTCCTACATCCTTCCCAGTGCCATTAATGGCTGGCTTATTGACAATGTGACATCAGATTGAAAAGATGTATTTGAAGCAGGTGCAAAGGGACAGTGGAAAGGCTATATCTAGTCATGAGATAAAAGTGAGGCCTTCAATAGGATTGTGCTTTATTATCTGCTGCAAGTATTGAAAGAATATGTTGTATCACAGATCTTCATATTGGTTACAATATTTTACTTGGTATAAGAGGATTCCATTAGATAATGAAAGATTAGATGGAAAATTGATCCACTTAGGGGCAGGGTGAGGCAACAGTATCCCCCTTAATCTATTGAATATACATTGCAGAGTTCCCCCAATTATGTTGTTACCCAGCTGGAAATGTGTTAAACCAGGAAATTTGCTTCATGACCAGAAGCCCAGGTCCTCCTTCCCTAAGACTGCTACTTTCATTAAGAACACAGATAATTATGTTGATGAGTTCAGATGAGAACAAGAGACTCCACTTGTGTTCACATAATAATGAGAATAATTAGGAGATCATAAGGACTAAGCTGACTGCCAGCAAAAGCAAGGTATGTGGCTGGAGGGACAAATGTGAGTCTGAATTTTGCTGTATGAAGAGAGCAGTGTGACAAACAGGGTGGGATGAACAGGGCAATCACCCCGACTTGTGGGGAAGAGGAGAGGAGAAAAGCAACTGGAGCTGGCAGCCATACAATTACAATCACAAATGAAAATCACTACTGCCCTGTGCTCTGGGTACCTACCTGTGTCCCTATGCTACTGGCAGTGAGTGCAAGTCACACAAGAGAGAAGTAGGATTAAGATGTCTGGTTTGGAATTTAATCAAGAAGGTCAGGCATGAATCTACAAGTGAGAAAAAGCCTTAGACATGCTCTTGACAGACAGAAAGGCCTGTCAGGCTCCTACTATTTTAAAAAGAGCACAAGATCACACTAACATCTGTTGTCCTCATTCCTATCTCTGGGGCAGGCCTGTCATTACAAATAAAGAAAGAGTCAGTAGGTTTATTTTTGTAGGTCTGTGTGGTGAGTCACAATATCTATTAGTAAGAAGGTCTTCAGCCTGCAGAAGTAAGGTGCATGGTGGGTTGGTATTCAGATATCCTAGGGTAATTTGTTGATACTTTTCCTTCATTTTTATTTTCCATCTGCTCCAAGCCCTGATAAACTGTTAATATTAAAGGCAAGCAGGTGCTCCTCTCCTTCTCCTTGCTCATTCTTAAGGGTCAGGGGAAGGTATATTACAAAAAGTAGATGAATTAAGGGATTCTCAGGGACTTGAACATGGTAGAATACAATTGCACTTAGCTACCTAAGTACACTTAGGTAGCTAGAATAGGTCCCATGCTCTCCAAAATTTCCCCCCATCAAAGGGGATAGGCCTGAGAAGCCCCACAAGGTTATTTTCAGAGTTTTTCTTGGCCCCTTTCCCACAAATTGCTCAGTTAGGAACAAAATAAAAATTGTGCAATAACTAGACAGTGACTAATCCACTCAGATAATTATTTGTAAGATTAATGGCAATAACATTAATAACATTCCCAGTGGAGCACTGAGGAAATGATTGGAAACAATTCATGAAATTGCCAGCATGCTCTCATTTGGTCTAGATCCCAATTTTCTTTTCTCTTCTCTTTCCTATTCCAAACCAATATCCCTATATGCTGCTCAAGGAGCATATTTTTGGTTCACCAGAGAGAAGCTAGGCTAATTCTAGCTGCTTCTTCCTATCTACAGGTAGCAAATACAGCACTCAGCTGGGAGCCATCCATTACAGATGGAACTGGCAACTATTCAATCTCAACATTCACTATCAGTTAATTAAAATACCATCCCTCTAGGGAGATGTCTACACTAACCTTTTTCCCCATAATTTCCTATTGCTTCTTTTTGTTTTGATGGGAATTCTGGATGCCTTTCTGGTAGCATTACAAATCCCAACCAACAGAATTATAAGATGGTCTTAAAACTAATGAGATTATGTTAGGTTTTGGAGGGAGTGCCCTTCTGCCTTTTCAGCCTTTAGATTACATATTTTCATTTTTCTCTTGAAAGTGTAAAGTCTTGACCCTTAATTATTGCAAATTAAAGCTGAAATTCTCCTGTAGTCACAATAATAACCTGCATTGCGCTTATGGGCTCGGTGATGCTACCCTCGCTAGCACCATGACTGAAAGAGACTTGGGGGTCATGATTGACCACAAGACAGACATGAGCCATCAATACGATACTGCAGCTGGCAAAGCAAACAAAACTCTGGCTTGCATCTACCGACACATCTCAAGCACGACCAGGATGTCATCCGCCCGCTGTACTCAGCCTTGGTGAGGCCGCAGCTGGAGTACTGAATCCAGTTCTGGGCTCCACAATTTAGGAAGGATGTGGAGAAGCTTGAACGAGTCCAGAGGAGAGCCATGTACCTGATCAGAGGACCAGAGAATAGACCTTATGAAGAGAGGCTGCGAGCTATGGGACTCTTCATCCTGGAGACGCGCAGGCTCAGGGGTGACTTGTAGGCAGCCTGTAAGTACATAAGGGGTGTGCATCAGGATGTGGGGGAACACCTGTTCACCAGGGGACCCCCACATCCTGTCTTCCACCCCAGGGGTTGACAAGGTTCAATGGTCACAAACTCCTGCAAGACTGTTTTAGGCTGGACATAAGGAAAAACTTCTTTACTGTCCGAGTCCCCAAGGCCTGAAACAAATTCCCCCCCCCCCCCCCCCCCCCACCGGCCATCTAAAACAATTCCCCCCCCCCCCCCGAGGTGCTGCAGGCACCTACTCTGGACACTTTCCAGAAACATTTGGACGTTTATCTTGCTGGGATCCTATGACCCCAGCTGACTTCCTGCCCCTGGGACAGGACCTGATGATCCTACAAGGTTCCTTTCAGACCTAATGTCTGTGTAATCTATTAAATCTATTACTCCAGGAGCTGGAAAAGCACCAAATACTTTGTACTTTTAAAATCATGAGACTTAGCCACTCTGCCTGGTTTAGAACTGGTAAATACAAATGCTTTGTTGGCATTACTGCCTCCATTACTGGGAAATCTGTGAGCATATCAGCATGGCAAAAGGAGGCCAAAAACAATGGGAATGTGATGACCTTTCTGTCTGGCAAGTGATGCCAGTTAGTTTAAGTTAATCTAAATGACACTACCAAAATAAAAAGACAGATTTCAAAGGAAAAACATCTCTCTCTGTAGTACCCTCAACTGAAGTTATTAAGGCCAAATGATTTTCAAATGTATTCATTCGTGTCTGTTCACTTTCTACAGTCTCTAAAATGACCAGGTTCTCTCCCTGTTCTTCATTCTCTAGCTCTTAAACTTGGCTTCCTGGTGCTTTCAAGTTACAAACACTATCAAGGAAGATTTAGCTCTCCTAGAAAAATACTTTTCTGTAAGTAAGTATGCATCTTAAATAGAAAGCCTTCATCAATAAGCATTTAACAAACACCAAGTTTGAAACAGACTCAGTAGACCTGAGCAGTACCCCAGGGTGATCAGAATTTATATATATTGTCTAGTTCCTATAATGGCCCAATGCCCATACTGCAGTGCTGTGTTGAGTCAGAGGAAAAGAATAAAGCATGGCTGATTACAGCTGCCCTAGTTCATTATAGGGGAGGGATTTAATCTAAGCACTGCAGTTTTTATTCTAAAGATGCTGACTCTCACTGCAGGATTAAACCACTTATTCTACACCATACCTTGCTCCTATAATACAGGGCACATGGTGAATTACTTCCTCATAGCTGTCTCAGTCCTCTCACCTGGCAAATCCCTGTGTGCTCAATACAAGCAGCTGAGGTCTATTTACTAGCAGCTGGAAAAATTAACCCCTTTCCTACCAACTTGTGCACAATTTGGTACATGCAATTTCTAGACTAAAAATGGCCTTCTTCTATCTTAGTAAATATAATCTGGAACACATTACAATTTACATTCCACTCCTTCAAACCCTACTGAAGTCTTCAAAATACCTGTGCAAAGCTCAAAGTAGAACAAACTCAGAAAACCAGTAAGACTGGGGCTTTGTTTTATGCCTATTTAACTGCTGAGGTTCACATCTCAGCATTTCTGAGTTCAATTGTCTATAGAAATCAGCATGGAAACAACAAGCAATGCTGGGAGAGAATGAAGAGCCCAGAAGGAGCAATGAAACTGTACCTCCTAAACAGGGATGGGAATGTGGAGGGTTGTCTGTGCACAATATTTCTCTACTTTGACAGAATATTTAACTCCAATTCATTAAGCAACTAATATATATATATATAAAAAATACACAATAGACAATATATATGGGTGTTGTGCAACTTACTACCTATTTTTACTCTCCTTACTATGTTGTCAAGGAAACATAATAAATGTTAGGAGGGTGCCTACCACCACAAGAAAATATGAGACAGGGCTATCTGAATCTTACTTCTTTCTAATGCATAGGTTATTAACCTATAAAGTCAGTATCACAAAAGCACAAAGGTAAGGCAACTGAATTAAACCTTGCTTCAATAATTTGGTTTTCAGAACCTACACATAGGATGTCCTTAAATTCCATGAGCCAGGGGGCGCTCAAACATTTTTACTGTGTCGACTTCATCTTAGTTAAGAGATTGCCTTATGGTCACTGCCTCTCCCCTTTGTGATTGCGCAAACTACGTCCCTTCCCATTCCCCATCACAGAACACCCCTATGGCAACTGCAACAATTATTCATGTACAAAAGTAATGGAAAAGTAATATTAGGAAATTGCTTAATGTATTTTATGTCCATTTTAATGCAAGTTAGCTCCTGGAAAAAAGGGAGAGGGAGCAATGCTATTTGGACAGCCAGCGAGTCCTCTGCAGATCACTTGATGGTCTTTGGGTTATAATTCGGGATCTATGTCTTGTGAATCACATTCTGTTGGATGATTCTCCAGGGCCCTGTGTCTTGAGCAGTAATTTGCAAAATGGCTGAAAAATACTATTATATTCAAGTGGTAGCATTTCGCACATACCTTATATTGCCTTAAAATGATTGAACAAAATGAAAAGCCAAGGAGAATCAGCTTCAAAGAGTACAGTGAAGATGCATAAGAAATTCCCACTCATTACTGTGCTAAGGGTAACAGAACCTATTGTTTATGATGCTTCTTGTATTGTTTTAGTGAAACCTATCTAAGAGATAAATCAAGGATGGTCAATTAGTTTTCCAGGACAGTCCTGGATTTCAGAGCTGTGTTCTAGTGCTCTTCATGGGACTTCCATCCTGAATTTGTCCCAGATCAGAACCAGGAAATGTTCTGCTCAGAGGCAGTGGTAACAAACTGTACAATTGCACAGGTCCTAAAATTAACTGGTCACCATTGATTTCAAGGCTGCTATGAGGAGCTGTGAAGCTGTCTAGTATCAGTTAAGTTCATGGCTGCCTATAGCCATCAGTAGGGCATATGCGAGTGTGTCCTGGATTTTGTTCCCTGAAAGTTGGATGCTTTGACCAGCTTTAGTGATTAGACAACCCCCTGATTGGAAATAGTGTTGTAATGTATCTTCAAATGGATAAAGTATCCTACCCAAAGAACCTTGTCTGCCAATGAATAAAGTATAATTCTACTCCATCTTTAGTAGGAGATTGCCTTATTAAACAACTAATATGTACCAATTGCTTGAGTCACTGTGTAAAGCCAAGTTTCCCTATATTTTATTTTCATACATATTTGCAAGGCAAGACCCCGGAGTACCCTAGTCCTGCTCTGTTAAAGAACATACTAAGGATTAGAACACAAAGCTGCCTGACTGTGTAAGACTCACAGCACAAATAACCTATGTGGGAGGACCCTAGTTTCACAAGAATGGAATGACTCAAGATAGATGCTACCCATTAGAAAATCCCCCAGGTTAGTAGGAACAAAAGACCATACATAATGAAGCCCTATGTAACCTGCTGAGCCTCTAGCAACCACTTATCACTGGATCCTAGTTGCATTTGCTGAACTTCTCTTCAGGGACATGAGCTGCGAGTCATTGCATGCTAGCCTCCCCTACTGAGAACCACCCTAATCCTTCCTCAGATCAGCTGATGACAACTATTAGTAACAATGATGACTGCATAAATGCAAATATGTGGGTTGCCTGTGGAGGACTGTAGGGCAATTTAGCATGACTTACAGATGCATCACTGTCCTCAAAGTTAGGCATGTAGGAAGCAATATGATGTTCTTTCACGTGCTACCAATAGCCTATAATAGTATCCTCAAGTCATTGTGAGCTAATTAAGTGCTGCATGGACTTCACCTGCCCAATATATGGCTTGTTTCTATTCTACACAAAGTGCTAACACATATTCGCTAGCCCAGGTTTTTCACAAAAATTCGGATAGGTTGTGATCTCATATGAATGTTTGTTTTTCTCTATGCCAACTGCTGGCTCTGGCATATTGTTTTTCTGACTCATGAGATTCTGTTCAGCTTGTTCCTTAGCTTCCATTTCGCTGCATATGTGGCTGTGGTTTATTTGCACTTTCAGGTGAAAGGGCATTACCTTACTCTTTTCCTTTGGGAGTTAGCAGAAGAGATACTTCCAGATGAGAACACATTAGCTCAGGCTCTATCCTAATTAGCAGCAAACTCCCTTTAGCCACAAGCAGTGACAGTGATTGTGTACAAGCCACAAGATTCTAAGTTTGAGTCTCAACCTGTGGTAATATGCAAGAAAACATGCTGCTAGCCACCGGAAGGAGAATTCACTAAATTAACTGGGTTAAACCAGTAAACAGAGAAAAGGAACCTATGCAGTAACTTGTGAAATAAGAAGTGAAAAGGAGAAAACATGAGACAAGTCAACTGATTGTTCAGTTTAGATATGTCTGGCCACTGTATGCTATTCCAGCCCTGGCCCCTCAATCCAGTTCTGGTAATGTGTTCTCAACCTGTAGCACCTTGAACTATCTAGTCCAGGATCTCTCATAAGAAGTATCTGCTCGTTGTGTAGTGTTAGCAACATGGACAAACACATGTCACTTGTTATTCAACTCTGGTTTAAACCTAGGATTCTCATGGGTGGAAGGGCTGTGTCATTGTCCATCACAGAACTCCTTCATCAAAATAGGATTAAATGAGTACTGGGGAATCACTGTACTTACTGATGAAAATGTTCAAACAATGCTCCCTCCATTCTCTCTCCTGACTAGTAGTATAGCAACGCTATCATGACAACATTTTATCTGAAGAAATCGCTATTGATCCTGGGCCTATTAAGTCAATGGGAGTTTTGTTGTATATATCAAGGCAAGCAGATTTTGACTTTATTTTGCCCTACATCTCTCTGTTGTTGATAACTCCTCATCTTATCATTCAATCAAGTTTCCTATGACCTAAACCCAATGGTTCATCTCCTCTAGAGTACCATGGTTTTGGTTCTCAATCCTAAATAATTAAGAGCATTTTTTTTGCCATTTCCACTAGGTCTTGAAGAAAAATTA